GGCATAAGCGTGGTGTGATAGGTGTTTTGACTTTTGTTTTTTATATATTCATTTAAAGATGCGGGCTCTTAAGTTATAATTGTTTTTATTTATGGGTGGTTGATTTTGTTGTGTGAGTATTGCCTTGATCTTGAAGAATTATGATCATTGAAGCAATACTCATACAAAATGACTGTTGGTTTTAATAGGAGTTACCTTAAAGGACATTTACAGCATAAATAAATAGAATTTTAGATAGATAGATAGATAGATAGATAGATAGATAGATAGATAGATAGATAGATAGATAGATAGATAGATAGATAGATAGATAAACGAACGAATTTTTAAAATCTGCTCTCTTATATTTCACTTAAATAGAAGATATTTTTAGGCAAATGATTTTCAGTGAATGTTTTTATATTTTGAATATGGTGGCTATCTTGTATAGTTTATAGTTTATTTACACTTGTTTAACAGATAAAAATACAGAGGACTATAATAAGTTTAATTACTTAGTATAGTCTGGACCATTAGAAATTAGGACATTACTTTCTGCTTTAATTTTCAATGCATTTCTATCATAAAACCAGCTGAAAGACTTTCATGGTAAAATCAGCAATATATTTACAGAGAACGGACACTGCACTAAAAAGCAAATATTCATTAATTTTTATATGAAATAAATCTTAATTCATTAAGATATGAATTCCGAGCTCTTTTGTTTTATATCAAATTCAGTTAATATTTTGTCCTGTAATTCTTTTTTTCATCCTAAATCAACATGATTAATAATTTCAGACACAGCAGAAAATCAACCCAGTTTATGAAATAAATTTAAAAATCATTGATTGCTTTATGAAATAAATTTAAAAATCATTGCTTGCTTTGGTCTTTTTAAAATTATTGTTATGCAAATATCTGAGCTCATTACCTAAGGATTTGTAATCAAATATTTTGGGGTATTTATGCTGCAAAGCATCTATATATTGCAATGAAAATCTATTTACAAACGCTTCAAACTTCTTGAAATATAAATATATCTTTAATGTGAACAAATCTTTCCTTGAATGACAGTAAACAATTCTGAACTAATATGTTTATATTTCTGAGATGAGGTGTTGTATCATTCGGAATTTTTTCCTCGTCTTTATTGACATATTCACGACGTTTCGGCCTTTGTACACTCCAATGTTCTTCAGGTTGGAATTTCGAATTTCGAAACCATTATTTAGTCTACATGGGTAAATTGTTCTAATTCCGCGTGCCCATCGGATAGCCAGAGCTAAAAACATCAACTACAATCAGAATGACTATCATGTAACAATTGATTCCTATTTTTATGGCTTATCAACCCCTTTGTGGGTTATTTAAAACCGAAACATATTTTGAATCGCGAGAATCATTCGTTTATTGCAGGTGAGTAATACATTAACAAACTTTCGAGAATAGGACTTCTTTTTCGCGATAGAAGTCTTAGCTAATTGCACGTAAGGAAACGTAAGAACTCAATTAGAATTTGAACTTGGCTCTCTGAGTTCTCATTCAGAGCTGCTATCCATTGCACCAGCTTCACATCCTATCACGAAACAAAAATTACAATATAGCATTATCCTCCGATATTTAAAATATGAAGTAAGAAAAATTACAACTTTGGTTTCTGCGTATGATCAAAAGAATGGATTGGTTCCTAAATCGGAAAAAAGTCACAGGAAAATTCAAGTAAAATAAGTAAAATCTTTTAATATTTTTAATAACTAATTTTCAAAATTATATCATTAATATGATTTTTATTTAAATTTAAATGAACAGATGTTTTTTGCTTTATTTTTTACTTTTGTTTTATTTAATCATCCCGACTAAAAAAATAGTATTAGAAGCACTAGTTAGTTTATGTTATTTAGTTTTCTTGAAAACATTTCAGATAAATGTATTTCTTAATAACATATAAGTAATATTTTAATTGATTTAATTTATTGTTAAAATAATTCTTAATCGATTGACTAAATTCTTTTGTGTCATGGACTTTCATCGTCTTTCTGAATAGGAATCGTTTTCTGTTTAAATTTTATGCGCCTACCAAGAAGCATGTCTGCTTTTCAATTATTTATTTTACCTTTTTTATACATAACTGCTACGTATATATTCTGCAGTGTTTCTATCTATGTACACTTTTCGTTAAGCCATTCATATTTTGCTTGATTGAATTTCTTTCTCACTTTTTCGTTCAATATTCCATTATACTGTGCCTTAACACGGTCATCAACTTTTTTATCTCTCATTCAGAACTCGAGTGAAACTAATGCCCTACACGCAAGCCACCAATCATTATCTCTGGTGGCCCGCTTTCGGAACGCTGACGTGTTCCTCTCGATAATGTTACCACTGGCGGAGCGCTAGAGGCCCACCAGCGGCACGCCGGTGGCTGCCAGCAGAAGACCGCTGGCGTTGCCATCGGAGGCTCGCCAGCGGGCCACTACCTGCTTGCGTGTAGGTTATATGCATTCAACCGCTAAATATGTTGGTAAAATAGTTTGTTCCTTGTACCACTCCAGTAAGTATCTGATTCCTTTTGTTACGCTCTATCTTTACAAGTTCCAGATCGAACTAAAATGGACAACTACTACCATATCTAGATTCGAGCTTCCCAGTCTTCAATTGCCAAAAGTGTCTACGCGGCCTTGTGGGTGATAAATTATTTTAATTTCACCCGAAGTAAGGCAATAAAGCCACTAAGACACAAGGGATTACTTAGGGTGAAAGAATATGAGAAAAAGAAAAAACATTAAGAAGAAAAATAGGAATTAAGAAAGCAGAAAATTAACATTGCATTCAAATTTTTGGAGGTCAAATTTGATTAGAAAACAAGAGGCTAAGAAATGGTGTAAGAGAAGGAACGGTTGGCATAGAAGTTACGGTTAAATCTAGTCATTTCAAATGTAAAAACTAGTATTGTGCGTAAATTCGTAAAAACGGGCTACCAAAGAAGAGAGCTCATCGAAACAATTACCATGAAAATATTTACAGAAAAGCCATAGGGAAGCTAATTTACGGCGATTGAAAAATAACTGAAACTGAGATGCTAGAGAACAGGACCAATAACATTTTAGATTCTTCTTTGGATTTTATCAAGAATACATAATAGAAGTACCAGCCCCGATATAACAGCAATATTCAATGCATGAACGAATATTAAAACTATAAATATGTTAGATATATTCTGTAGAGAAAATAGTCTAGCAGTACTTAATGAAGCAGTTTTTCCAGCATTAGACCAAACAAAGGATTCAATATAATCTTTTCCACTTCATGTCAAAGAATAATATTAGCACTAGAATTCACTCTCCTGGATGTTAACACCAGCGAAGATGTCGAAAAGCAAAAAGATGATCTAAGACGATTAAAAGATAGAAGTTTCGTTTTGGAGGCGTTAAAATTAACATGCCATTTCTTGTCCCAGTTAACAATAGTCTATATGTATTTTATAAGATCAGCTATCAACACTTGGGTTATTCGGAATGGTACCGACACTCTGCGTTTGTTTGTTTGTGTCTTACTCTCTCTGTGTATGTGTGTGTGTGCGCGCGCGGACGCGCGTGTAATATAAACATATTATTCATCTCTATCTATAAAACACAGGATGTGTGTGTAACAAATGTACGGCCGCAATTTTCGACGGATTTGCACCAAAAGTTACATGCACATGCTCCAAGTTAGCGGAAAGGCCAAGACCGACTTTGCATTTCCCAACTCCCATCGATAGTGGAAATAATAATTTTTCATGCTTTTACGGCAGTTTTCATGTAGTTTGCGGCCATTTTCTACTGGCCAAAGTGAGAGCCTATAGCTGGCTGCCACGAATAGGCAGGAAGATTCTATTGGCCAGCGTGAGAGCCAACAGCTGACTGACACGAATGTTAACTAGCATGCTAGCATGCAAAAAAATCGATAGCTACCTTCGTCACAAGTGGGAAAAATTTAAATCTGCATGGCACTTTACTCCATTTGGCTCATTCACTTGCTTAAACTCAACGTTGATTCTGATTCCGCAGAACTGGGTTGGGTGTGAAAAAGTATTTGTTGTTAACATTCTTTTTTCATTCGGTTTTTCCAGTTACGAGTCCTTTTTTAAAGCGTTTTGTGTTCATTTTGCTTAGTTCTTTTTTTGTAACAGATTTAATGTTTAGTATAGAGCTCAGAAAAAATTCACAGTGTGAGATAGGCAAGAAGTAAGGCATGTAGCAACATCAGCCCGGCAAAGGGCACTCCTTTAAAGGCAAGGAAGGGCAAAAATATTTCAAGTCAAGTGATAGCGATTGGTGTATGAGTCGTACGATTTTTGAATCAAGCACGGGCAACGCCGGGTCATGCTGCTACTCTTGTATATTGCTGTTCTATTGCTGTTGTAGAATATTTATTTAGTCTCCAGAACGGTGCAAGACTAAAGAATTAGCTTGAGTTACGTTTTCGATCCTCAGAGTGCGGATTAACTCAGATGTTCAACTTCATATATATTAACTCTAAAGATACAACAGAGATTTCAACAGAGATAACTTATCGGCTGTATATAGTAAACGGTTTTATGATATACAAGTATGTATATAAATATAGATATACATATTTTTTTATATATATATATATATATATATATATATATATATATATATATATATATATACATTGTATAACTATCTTTATATATACATTTATGATATACATATGTATATATATTGAATACTATATATATATATATATATATATATATGCACATACAGGCTTACACACACACACACACACACACACACATATATATATATATATATATATATATATATATATATATATATATTATTGTTGTTGTTGAATATTTGAGCAAACACGCATTGAATGTAAGCATGTGTTAGATATGGGTATTCATATATGCGCAGAAAATACGTCTTTTCGATGGAATATATAGTTTCTGTTACAGGCGTCAAGCTGCCGAGACTCTACAAATGAAGATAAGATAGTACCATGAATGCATGTTTTGCCGTGTTTTTTGCACCCAGGGTGCTAAGTATTGCAATGCACAATATTCCCCATCCTCCTCAGTTTTTTTTCTTTTACAGGGCGGCGTTATCATCGGGTGGTATACAAAGCTGAACAATAAAAGCAATGATGACTTACTCTGCTATGTTTCAAATTATTTGTCTGTTTCTTCTTCACTTTTTCTCTTTTTATTTGTTACCTCATTTTCTTTCTTTTTCTTATTTCATATATATATATATATATATATATATATATATATTCTTTTTGTTACGAGAGAGTTCCGTACCAGAAAACGAGCAGGGGGTCAAGTATGATCGCTGACAACAGCAGGAAAGAGCATAAAACACTGCGTAAATATACTTCACTTGTTCATCACAATGAAGGTCAGAATTTCAATAGCTGCTCTCAGCTGACAAGATCTGAGCCATTTTCTAGAAGAGAAGTAGATAAGCGTTTTATTGAATGACGCTCGATTAAGCAAAATTGTTAATGATGTTAGGATTTTTATAGCCTGCTTTTTACGTAACTTATGATATCCTGGGTAGGATTTACTTAAAAATACATCAAAGTTACCATTCAGTCTAAATTATTACGCATGTGATAAAAATAATAAAGTTATTAGTTTATATATATGAGTTTTTGTTCAGGAATACGCTGCAATATATTTGAGCAACTACTGTTTATAGAACCCATTGTATTACGTGTAGGCTGTTTTAAACAATTGCCATTATATAACAATCTCTCTCTCTCACTCTCTCTCTCTCTCTCACTCTCTCTCTCTCACTCTCTCTCTCTCTCTCTCTCTCTCTCTATCTATCTATCCAGTACTTCATAAATTTAATTACTGACCCCTTCAACAAAAAAATCCTCTAAATAAGATATTCAGCAGGAAGTCAATCAAAATTAGCTACTTCTGCTCTGATAATATGTACCAAATTATTAATTCCCATAACAATTACATTTCAAGTAAATTGTATGGGGGGAACTAAATCTAACATGGAAACACCTGTAATTGTAGAAATGAGGAAAACTGCAAATGCAGATCTACTAGGGTAGTATACCAGGCAACCATTACCCCTAAAGAAAATATGACAAACCATAATATTTACATCAGCATTTCTGCAGGAGAATTTAAAAAGTGAATCAATACACAGAGACACTCATTCACCAATCCAAAATTCTGAATCCTCAAATAAATTGGACAATTGTAGGTTTCGTGAACATCCACAATAGTTTTAGAGATATATATAGAAGGAAAAAAAATCAGGATAATAAAATATAAAGATCAATGCAAACTATTATATCAATGGAGAGAACTAATAATGAAATGTAGACATAGGAACAGATTCAAAATTACCTAAGAATATTTGTGTATATATGTGGGGGTATATGTGTGCACATAGTGGCATATGTATGTATATGTACATATATGTATGCATGAAGATATGTAGGCATATATGTGTTGGACAGCATGATTTATTCCCTTGGGTGGTCTGGTATTACCCACAATATATATATCTATAATTCAACTAATTTACATTAATCTTAACGGGTTTAAGTTTAAATCCCCCATCATTTATTATTAATATTGGACACCTGTAGTATAAAAACTATTTACCGTGAATCCGAGAAAAACACGTTCGGGGCCTGTATAAGAAACGCCCAATAGTAAAAACTAATATAGTAGGAACGGATATTAAACTACAAACAACAAAGGTTCTGGCCATACAAAAGCCCAAACCCAGACCGCTTCACCAGGAATAAGATGCTTTACGCCCCCACCAATCTCTAACACAAACCCATTCTCTTTAACAAGGCGTCTACCAGAGGAGGACTGACATTGAAAGTAAATTTAAAACAATGTTCCGAGATAGGCACTTAGAGACTGATGATAACCGCGCATAACGGCTTGAAATAGACTCTGTGTTGAGGTAATTTTATTTTTTTTGCTGTAATATATATATATATATATATATATATATATATATATATATATATATATATATATATATATATATATATTCAATGCAAGAGGTATCATACGCATATTCCGCGGGTCAGTTCAGCGTTCTTTTGTTTCCATGAGGGGAAAACCTACCAGAATACCGGACACAGTACCTCACCTGGCCTCGTGACGTGGCTAATTCGACCCTGGTGGGCTGACTGTCAATATGCAGCGTGCATAGGTCATGGCTCGTGTTGTCTGGTCTACCCAAATATGTCATTGACCAGTGGCATCTATACAGGTTTACTCCAGCAGGATAATGTACCATATCCACGAGCTCAGGGTCCCTAACATTTGTTTGAAAAACATACTGGAGAGTTCTAACGAATTGTGTGGCCATTGTTCGACAGATATGAGCTTAATCGAACATTTATATGGCGCTATGGTGCGTCTATTTTCACGCATGGTCCTACACCTACAAATATTAGGGAGATATAAACAGCTATCGAGAGAGTAAGGTCATACGATAACTTGTGAAATCGATGAAAATGAATTAAAATGATTACTACAATATATTAGGCGCCTATCCCATGAATGTTAATACATCAGTATGACGCAACAAACACTAAAATAATATATATAGGAAGTAAGAAAATACAAATGTTACATTATGCATAAGATAATATATATTAAATTGGTACATTAATAATTATCTCTCTGAATGATATACGTAATACTATTTTGAAGTAATTACAGAAAAAAGTATCATAGTAGCTGTAGATACTCAACTTAAAGGCAAGAATACCTTGAGAAGGCACTGGAAGGCGTAAAAAGTTATATTTGAAAACATTGCTGTAATATTCTTTAAGACAAGAAATATTTCAGGTTATTATCTGATCTACATACAATTAAATAAAGGAAGTAATATGAATCAGAGAAAAAGAAAGAAATGAATAAGAATAACAATGCAAGGAAGGAAGGAAGGAAGGAAGGAAGGAAGGAAGGAAGGAAGGAATGTAGCATATAATCTACTCTGAAAATACCAAATGGTCTGAATAGAATCTGATGTCGATATGGTACCTTATTTCTAAGAGAAGTTAATTTGCCATGGCTCCAGTATGTACTGAGTTCAGTATAACAGATACCAAAATCACCTTTGCATTCAGTGTTACACCAAAGCATCAAAGAAGACGGGTGCGTCAGAATGTTGACTTAGGAGATGACCTCAGAACCACCAGGTGCAGATTCGTCCCTTAAAGCATGTCAGTGGCTGCTTCCGACATGTAAACACATGAGACAATTTTATCACAGGAAGATATATAAGCGCTTCTTACGAGAGGGAAAAGACTGAGATTTTATCACATCATCACGAGAAGACACAGGTTTAGAGAAAGCCCCAATTACACACACTCTCACGCACATATTAACTGACCAGAAGTGAATAAATAATACTTTTATGCATGAAAGATTTAGTCTGGCGTTATTATTAGTCTTTGAAATTATAATGTTAGAGGAAGGAAGGGCAAAGAAAATTGCTAATAAAAGCACAAAACAAGAAGAAATAGTGAAGAATCAGAAGTAGAAAAATTATAGAAAAAGAGGTCTAGCGACCGGTTTTATGGTAAAATTTCTTCTTTACTCTTGTTCAACGGTTTAATTTGGAAATAAATGTTTTCTGGTAGACCTTATGCCATCATATCTTCTTGTCGACAAACATAGCCATTGGTTGAGTATTCAACAAGAGACGAGGATCTTTTTTAAGAAGTTTTCTATCTTTTTCGTGACGCTCTAAAACTTTGTCAGCTACAGACCAGTTCGCTGAATAGGAAGGTCTTAGTAAGATGATAGTCTTCCATTCGAGTCACATAGTTTTTTTTTTCTTTTGTTTTTTTCTTTTTTATGCGTTAAGTTTTAATGGTTGTGTTACTGGCTCTCTTATGGAGTTCGGTATTTTTATGAAGTTATGCCAAGGCATGTTGAGAATGATACATAAGCAACTCTGTTGGAAGTGTTCGAGTAGGCGTAGATGGTGATGGTATGTGACCTTAGATTCGAATACTAGATATTTATTTTGTTCAACAGTACACTTGAACTCTTTTACAGCCCTTTTCAGTTTTATTTTATAGCGCGATATTAATAAATATCCTCAACTAAAATGTGTCCATATTTAGATTGAAAGTCTGTATAATATCATTTATACTGTTAAAGTTGTGTATATGTTAGTAACATAACTGTTATCAAGCCGGAAGCTGGAATCGGTGAGCCAAGCTTATATTCTGGTCGAATCTATTGCATTTACGTCATATTCCTACCCTTGGCATGATTCTACTACAGTTATTGATTAAATAACAATGATGAGCGAGTTCTCTGGTTTTGGATGGCATCCAGTCTAGGAGAACGAAACTTGTGTAATTTCAAACCTGCTGCGCGTGCACATGATGTGAAGTATAAGAATGTCATTCGTTGCACCAAAGAAACTTTGACCATTAACCGAAATTGATCCCCTTTCAGTCGACTTGGATCTGGCAGGAAAAGACAAAGAAAAAACTAAAGGAAGAAAAACAATTGAATATAATCTTTTATGTTTTAATTCAAGTTTGTGATTATCAGCTACGAAACTTTTTAGCTTTCGAACGGCAGTGATTGTCAGGGGAGATTTTCCTCTCTCATTATTAACTGGAGAAAATCAAGGTAAGAAGTTACTTTACATTTTAAAGAAATAACAATAATATTGTTTAGAATTTTATTTATTTCTGGAAGTGACTTGGTATAATCATGTTTTGTATAAAAATTCTTACATTTGTCGATATTCTTTCTAAATAGTTAAATTTATCTAATTGCTATTTTTTTGGTTTGAATATCCGCATTGCAAATTATTTCAACCATGCTGATATTATTTGTTTGATTTGGTTCTAGGGTATGTTTGTTATTGAATTGCTAAAGAAATATGATAATCATTTTGCTTCGTCAGATGTTTTTTATTTACTGATGATCACATAAGGATAAGTAATATTTATGAATGAATGCTCTTTAAACGTCTTACAAGACTAACATCCTAACCGTTACAAGTGTTTCGTATTTATAATGGGTTTTTCCTCGTGACTGAGTTTGTTGCGTATATTCACATTAATGCTTCAGGCAACCTCTTAATTCACAAATTTTAATGCTGAATTTCAATGTAGACAGACTAAAATATTGGCGCAGTACAGTCTTCCTATCCCTATTTCTCTGCATTTCATATTATTTTGTGACGTATTAATATAATTATAGTAGATATAAGCCACTTTTTATTTATTTAATGACCAACTGTATTCTCAATGAAGCTCTTTACCTCGAATGTCTACTGGGTCTAAAGCTAACACCAGATCTCAAGGGGAACTCTTATATTCGTACCATCGTTAAAGGTTCTTGAAACATTTTCGGTTCCTTGTATCGTCCCAGAAAGTACCTAACTCCTACTGCCATACTTTATCTTTGCAAGAATTAGATCAAATCAAGAATGCTGCCATATCTGGCCTAGTACTGTCCAGCCCTGATAAAATCCAAAAGCTATTACGCAGCCTTGTGGGTAACTAATTTTTTTCAACCTAAAAGCCCTTTCCAACATCTGAAACGTTGCTGCCCAATCGCTACTAGTATGGAAAATGTTCAAACCTGGGGAATTCCATTGTTCCACCAGTTGAGACCTTCAAAGCTAGGACCCACCATGACACGTGCACATCGTCAAATCACCCTTTATTCTTTTCAAATATTCGTTTGGGTGAGGAGGGATATTTACTCAGAAAGCTCCTTCCTCAGAATTTATACTTTGTGGAATATACTTGGGACGATGGTTCCTCGACCACCTTGACCGCTTCAAGCCTAGGGTTAACTAATATCTATCCTACGTATCATTATAATATGCATCTCTCCCTCTCTCCTCATCCCTTTACACCCTTACAACAATCTCATTCAGTAACCCTCTATCTTGAATGGCTGTTGAGCGTTCTATTCGGTTAAAAATAGTAAAGAATCAGGTGAATAAAGTTCATGAAGTTTCAAGAAAAATATATGTTACTGTCAAATTAAAGCTATTGCTGCAATAGTACCCATAATACTTGGAGTAATTAAAAAACAAGTCCGACCATGAAAGAAAATTGAAAAAGAACTTTTCATGTTTGACCATTTGATCAGATTTTGGATAGTAAGTCACATGTAGAAATTTTAAACACATCTTCGTATAACTACTGCGTTCATTAATCGTCAAATCAGTTAATTAATATAAGGATAACATGTCCGTTAATAAATAGTTTCTATCTCGATTTCCTGATTTCTTAGTTTTGGCGTCAGACAAACTAGAGAAGGTGATTTCCCTTTATAAGAAAATGTCCATTAGTTGGGCAAATATATTTCTGTATACTAAATGAAGCATGTTTATTAGATATGCTTCGATGAACAAATTACATACCATTACTTAATCCATGTTTTACGGATCGCATCATATGTCAATGAAGGAGAAATTTTTTCAACCACTTCTTAACATGATTGCTTTGATAGAAGTTGGCCAGAATAGCAATTAGACTAATTGAACTAACCAATTCTTATTTGCTTTTTATTGTATTTGATTGATTTTAAATTGCGGGACAACCAACCTTTCACCTTCCATCAATGTAAATACTTTTCGCCTTTCTTCTTTTCTTTTCAATCGTCATTAGTTTCTCCTGTAAATATTACCTTACATTGAAGGAAACGTGTGAAAAGTTCATTTCATGTACAGAAAATAGATTTGCTTGTAGGTCATTTTTTAAGAGTTTGAATGTAGTGCAAAACTAATTGTTCTTGAAAAATGTAAATTCTTATTTCATGCAATTATTGAAGTCTGATTGTATTCTTCTCTGGGGTTATTACTAAAATATACATTTGGTTAAAAACAAGAAATAGACTAATACTTTCGTTCTTAATACTAGCCTAAACTATTAGATTCTGTTCATCTCTATCTCTCTGTCTCTCTTATCTACTTATGTATCTACCTCTTTCGCATCATTTTCTATTATATATTTACCTATTTGCTTCTTTCTTTGTTCTTTTTCTCTTTTGTTTCTTTTTTTCTCGGTATTCATCACATAGTGCTTCGTCTTTTTTCCTTCCTTGGCTTCGTTCAAATTTTCTCGCATCAGTAAGGGATTGCTTGATGTAACTTTGCCAACTTATAGTTTTCAAGTTGCTTTCTTTCTTGCTTATTCATTGTTCTGTGTTTTTTTTCTCTCTTTCTTTTTTGAGTTCTTGTTTACAACCTATTTCCTTCATTCATGCATTCTTTCTTTCTTGATGGTTTTTTTTTTGTTTTCTATTTTTCTTGCAAGCTTGCTTTGCGATTTATTGCTACTTTTATTTATTGCAGCTATATTTCTTGCTTTTTTCTTCCTTTCTTTTCTACTGTTTTCTTTCCTTTTGTTTGATTGTTTTTCTTCTTCATTTTCTTTTGTTTATTTTTTGCTTGTGTGCATGCTTTTTTTTATTTTATGGTTTAACTTGTTCCTTTGTCGTAGCGTTCTTTCCGATTTGCTCTTATTTTGTCTGTATTTCGATAATATTGGCAGAAAAATGTGAATAAACTGGAAAATAATTAATAAATTGAGTATATTTTCAGAATGACTAGCATACATTCTATGTACCGATTGTAGCAAGAAACATCATAATCATCATCTCTCTCATACTCTCTCTCTCTCTTTCTCTTTCTCTCTCTTTCTTTCTTTCTCCCTCTCTCTCTCTCTCTCTCTAACACACACACTCACTCTTTCTCTCTAATAGATAGTGTTATACACCGATCATTTATGAATATCTATGCTGATGATACAACAGTATATGTGTGCTCCTCCAAAACTCTAGATGACCAGAGATTGGCAGCTAATCTCTTCTCTGACCGAGCTCTAAAAGCTCAGTAGGAAAAGATCTGGCTGGTCACATTGAGTGCTTTGAAAACCAAACTAGTGGTGTCTCGCCATCACCGAGCGGAATGTTCGCCTATCAGAAGTTCTTTCAGAGAAACCCTGTTCCTTGACTTAAGCTTAATCTAAACATCAAGTGGAACTCGTACATACGATACATAGCTAAAGATGCTGGGAAAATGTTAGGTTTCCTGTACCTCTCTATTCCTTCTGCTATCCTCTATCCTTATAAGATCCATATCAGGACGGAAATGATGTACTGTTATCATATATGATCTTCACTTTTCAGTCTCTGTGGCTTTATGGGTGATTAATTATTTTCCACCAACAACACCTTTCCCCCACAAAAGAAACGTCGCAAGCTTCTCGCTGCTCTATCGCTATTTCCACGGAAAGTGTTAAGACGAGCTACACTCCTTAGTTTTACCAGTTCTAACCTTCACGAGTAAGAGCCACTAAGTCATCCAAATTGTAGCGAACCAACCCCCTCCCCCATTCCCTTCGTATTCCATTTGTGAGATGTAAGTTCCACTCGTGCAGCTTCTTCCCATGAAACACTGCTTTGTGGAACTGACTACCAAGGAGATGCTACCCCAGTTACTACACTCTTAACCTGTTTAAGTCTAGGGTTAAGCATTATTCTCCGCACATATCCCCATAAACTGTGCCTTTTATTCTGTAACACTCTACCTCGAGTGAATTTTGTGTTTTTTTCAGAGTGAAAATCACTGTAAAAATGTAAAAAAGATAAAAATTAGAGTCTGTATTGATTCTACAGTACTATATAAAAATTATTTTAACTTTTGGTAATATCCAGAATATGACTTCTCCCATTTGCAGAGATGACCATTTAGAATTTCTAAACTATTTAGCCTAGTATCAGATTAAATTTGGTATGACTTCTCCCATTTACATAGATGACCATTTGGAATTTCTAAACTATTTAGCCTAGTATCAGATTAAATTTGGTATGACATTTACATAGATGACCCATTTATCATAGATGACCATTTTTGGAATTTCTAAAATATTTAGCCTAGTATCAGATTAAATTTGGTATGACTTCTCCCATTTACATAGATGACCATTTAGAATTTCTAAACTATTTAGCCTAGTATCAGATTAAATTTGGTATGACTTCGCCCATTTACATAGATGACCATTTGGAATTTCTAAAATATTTAGCCTAGTATCAGATTAAATTTGGTATAGCCTAGTTCGATTAAATTTGGTATGACCCATTTACATAGATGACCATTTGGAATTTCTAAACTATTTAGCCTAGTATCAGATTAAATTTGGTATGACTTCTCCCATTTACATAGATGACCATTTGGAATTTCTAAACTATTTAGCCTAGTATCAGATTAAATTTGGTATGACTTCTCCCATTTACATAGATGACCAGATTAAATTTGGAATTTCTAAACTATTATTTAGCCTAGTATCAGATTAAATTTGGTATGACTTCTCCCATTTACATAGATGACCATTTAGAATTTCTAAACTATTTAGCCTAGTATCAGATTAAATTTGGTATGACTTCGCCCATTTACATAGATGACCATTTGGAATTTCTAAACTATTTAGCCTAGTATCAGATTAAATTTGGTATGACTTCTCCCATTTACATAGATGACCATTTGGAATTTCTAAACTATTTAGCCTAGTATCAGATTAAATTTGGTATGACTTCTCCCATTTACATAGATGACCATTTGGAATTTCTAAACTATTTAGCCTAGTATCAGATTAAATTTGGTATGACTTCTCCCATTTACATAGATGACCATTTGGAATTTCTAAACTATTTAGCCTAGTATCAGATTAAATTTGGTATGACTTCTCCCATTTACATAGATGACCATTTTAGAATTTCTAAACTATTTAGCCTAGTATCAGATTAAATTTGGTATGACTTCTCCCATTTACATAGATGACCATTTGGAATTTCTAAACTATTTAGCCTAGTATCAGATTAAATTTGGTATGACCCATTTCATAGATGACCCCTATTTACATAGTATGACCATTTGGAATTTCTAAACTATTTAGCCTAGTATCAGATTAAATTTGGTATGACTTTCTGACCCATTTACATAGATGACCATTTGATGAATTTCTAAACTATTTAGCCTAGTATCAGATTAAATTTGGTATGACTTCTCCCATTTACATAGATGACCATTTGAATTTCAGATTAAAATGACTTCTCCCATTTTAGATGACCAGAATTTCTAAACTAGTATCAGATTAAATTTGGTATGACTTCTCCCATTTACATAGATGACCATTTGGAATTTCTAAACTATTTAGCCTAGTATCAGATTAAATTTGGTATGACTTCTCCCATTTACATAGATGACCATTTAGAATTTCTAAACTATTTAGCCTAGTATCAGATTAAATTTGGTATGACTTCTCCCATTTACATAGATGACCATTTGGAATTTCTAAACTATTTAGCCTAGTATAAAGATTAAATTTGAATTTCTAAACTATTTAGCCTAGTATCATTTAAATTTAGATGACTTCTCCCATTTACATAGATTTGGAATTTCTAAAAACTATTTATGACTTCTCCCCATAGATGACCATCAGATTAAATTTGCCTAGTATGATTAAATTTGGTATGACTTCTCCCATTTACATAGATGACCATTTGGAATTTCTAAACTATTTAGCCTAGTATCAGATTAAATTTGGTATGACTTCTCCCATTTACATAGATGACCATTTGGAATTTCTAAACTATTTAGCCTAGTATCAGATTAAATTAAATTTGATGACCATTTGGAATTTCTCCCATTTATCATAGATGACTTCTCCCATTTTATGAATTTCTAAACTATTTAGCCTAGTATCAGATTAAATTTGGTATGACTTCTCCCATTTACATAGATGACCATTTAGAATTTCTAAACCATTTATCATAAAGATGACCATTTTAGATGAATTTCTAAACTATTTAGCCTAGTATCAGATTAAATTTGGTATGACATTTCTCCCATTTACATAGATGACCATTTTGGAATTTCTAAACTATTTAGCCTAGTATCAGATTAAATTTGGTATGACTTCTCCCATTTACATAGATGACCATTTGGAATTTCTAAACTATTTAGCCTAGTATCAGATTAAATTTGGTATGACTTCTCCCATTTACATAGATGACCATTTGGAATTTCTAAACTATTTAGCCTAGTATCAGATTAAATTTGGTATGACTTCTCCCATTTACATAGATGACCATTTGGAATTTCTAAACTATTTAGCCTAGTATCAGATTAAATTTGGTATGACTTCTCCCATTTACATAGATGACCATTTGGAATTTCTAAACCATTTACTAGTATAGATTAAATGACCATTTTTGGAATTTCTAAACTATTTAGCCTAGTATCAGATTAAATTTGGTATGACTTCTCCCATTTACATAGATGACCATTTGGAATTTCTAAACTATTTAGCCTAGTATCAGATTAAATTTGGTATGACTTCTCCCATTTACATAGATGACCATTTGGAATTTCTAAACTATTTAGCCTAGTATCAGATTAAATTTGGTATGACTTCTCCCATTTACATAAAGCCTAGTATAGATGACCATTTATTAAATTTGGTATGACTTCTCCCATTTAATTTCTAAACTATTTAGCCTAGTATCAGATTAAATTTGGTATGACTTCTCTCCCATTTTACATAGATGACCATTTGGGAATTTCTAAACCATTTGGAATTTTTAGCCTAGTATCAGATTAAATTTGGTATGACTTCTCCCATTTACATAGATGACCATTTGGAATTTCTAAACTATTTAGCCTAGTATCAGATTAAATTTGGTATGACTTCTCCCATTTACATAGATGACCATTTGGAATTTCATTTAAACTATTTAAGCCTAGTATCAGATTAAATTTGGTATGACTTCTCCCATTTACATAGATGACCATTTGGAATTTCTAAACTATTTAGCCTAGTATCAGATTAAATTTGGTATGATTTCTCCCATTTACATAGATGACCATTTAGAATTTCTAAACTATTTAGCCTAGTATCAGATTAAATTTGGTATGACTTCTCCCATTTACATAGATGACCATTTGGAATTTCTAAACTATTTAGCCTAGTATCAGATTAAATTTTGACTTCTCCCATTTACATAGATATTTGACTAGTTCTCCCATTTACATAGATGACCATTTAGAATTTCTAAACTATTTAGCCTAGTATCAGATTAAATTTGGTATGACTTCTCCCATTTACATAGATGACCATTTGAAATTTCTCCCATTTACATAGATGACCATTTGGAATTTCTAAACTATTTAGCCTAGTATCAGATTAAATTTGGTATGACTTCTCCCATTTACATAGATGATTAAATTTGGAATTTCCCATTTAAACTATTTATTTAGTATCAGATTAAATTTGGTATGACTTCTCCCATTTACATAGATGACCATTTGGAATTTCTAAACTATTTAGCCTAGTATCAGATTAAATTTGGTATGACTTCCATTTACATAGATGACCATTTGGAATTTCTCCCATTTACATAGATGACCATTTGGAATTTCTAAACTATTTAGCCTAGTATCAGATTAAATTTGGTATGACTTCTCCCCATTTCTCCCATTTACATAGATGACCATTTGGAATTTCTAAACTATTTAGCCTAGTATCAGATTAAATTTGGTATGACTTCGCCTAACTTTTGGAATTTCGCCCATATTTACATAGATGACCATTTGGAATTTCTAAACTATTTAGCCTAGTATCAGATTAAATTTGGTATGACTTCTCCCATTTACATAGATGACCATTTGGAATT